GTGACACCACACCTTTAGCAGGTTCTCTATACAAATCAATACGGGATTAAGGTTTCTTTATACTTCTTTTGTTTGTGGTTTATGCTTTGGTTTATTTGTGATCAAATGTCTTATCCATTTCTTAGTTTATTTTTTTACTTATTTATTATTTCATTCATTTATTTATGTGAATTGTTTCTTTATCCATCCTCCTTATCCTTATAATCTTTGATTCCTCCATCTGTTTCCTTCCTATTAGAAACCTCATTCCCCATAACCATTTTAACCGTAATCTTCTATCTGGAACAGTTATCAAGTTTTGCACTGGCTGAACCTTTATCTAAAAAGGTTTTGTAGCAATATGAGAATGTCGGATTCGTCTTGATGCATTTACAGATCAAGATTGAATACAAATAAAGGAATATGAACAAATTTATATAGTTGTATTTTTCTAACGTTCCATAGAATCTGCGGGTAGTTAACCGGATATCGGCGTATTAAACAGAATCGGTAATCCGAGTACGAATTCCGATCTAGTCTGTTGCATTCACTTTCACACTTATTGTTTTGGTAAAGGCATCGATCCGTTTTGTTTCGGAGCTAAATATGATGCCTTCTAGAATAACCTGTCTACAGAACAGTTGCCATGAAAAGAATAGAATAGACAGACGGAAGTCACGTCAGGTCGTTGAGAAAATGTCTGAAGTCGAGATGGCAAGCCAGGATCGATTACATTACAGTCTCTTTGAATGTTGTCAAGAATCTTGAGATGTACAGCAGGAACACCAGACCGAATATGGCAGCAATATTCAATGCAGGGACGAATGGTAGATTTATAAATGTGCAAGATGGATTCTGACAAGAAAAAAAAAAATCTCTGGCACGACACCACGAAGCGACTATCTTAGCAGTTGATTCGATAAAGTCTCTCCACTTTATCTCAATGGAAAACGTGGACATAATAAGGTGCAACGTGTTACTCTCCTGGACTTTAGCATCGGTCATGCTGAGGGCAGGCAGCATTGGTTCTTTTTTCCGTGAGTGGCAACCAGTCTAATAAAAGGATAAATCTGAATTTTAAACTGTTGTAGTGTCATCCCTCTAATAAGTCTATTATGGACTCTTCCACTTACTATAAAGTAGTAGAAAAAGTAAGCCTCGGAAGAATGGTGCTATAGGCCGTTCGGCTGTTAAACACTCCGCCTCGGCGGAGAGGAACCGGGACGAGTCTTTGCCGAAGGGCAAAGTTTCGTCCGGGGACGTAGACAGGCCCGAAACCCGTTTATACGAGTTCGAAGGGGATATTTTTAGCAGTGCCTTCGGGTTCGGAGAACAAACGATAAACTCGGCCTTGTGCCTCATACGACTCACGTGGGGGTCGTTAACTATGACGGTGATATAAACTGTTTGTCCTGTCAAACTCTCTGCCTCGTCGGAGAGGAACCGGGACGAGTCTTTGTCGAAGGACAAAGTTTCGTCCGGGGAGTTAGACAGAACTCAACCCGTTTGTGCGGGTTCAAAGAGAACATTTTTAGCCGAGCCTCGGGCTCGGAGAACCCACAATAAACTCGGCCTTGTTCCACATACAATCCACGTGGGTGGACCGTTAAATATAACGGTGATATAGACAGTTCTACCGAGGTTGTGACTGTTCGCAGCTCCTGTCGAACTCTCTGCCTTGGGCAGAGAGGAACCCGCACGAGGCTGTGCCGAAGGGCAGAGTTTCGTTCGGGGAGATAGACAGACCTGAAGCCGTTTGTTCGGGTTCTACGGGTTTTTTTTTTTTTTTTGGCCGAGTCTACGGTCTCGGAGAACCCACGATAAACTCGACCTTGTGCCATGTACCACCCACGTGGAGGGGGCGTTAAATATAACGGTGATATAGACTGTTCATTATTGTCAAACTCTCTGCCTTTGGGCAGAGATGAACCCGGACAAGGCTATTCCAAAGGCTAAAGTTTCGTCCGGGGAGTTAGACAGACCCGAACGCGGTTTCTACGGGAATTTTTTGCCATGACCCACGTTAGACTCGTGCTTGTTCCACATGTGCCCTCGTGGAAATGTCACTGAATATAACGGTGATATAGACTGAAACCTGGTCAAACGATACACGCCTAAATCGTGTAACACAGTTCTGATGTATTTACTATTCTGTACACTATTTATCTGCAACCTCTTGTTCTGTTATTTAACCAATTACTTGGTCACAACACAAACCGTAAAGAAAATATTATTACCATATTTTCAAGAAAAACGGCTTCTTTTAAGATAAACAATATGGCTTTCATATCCGTATGTCAATTGTCGTTGTGTTCACAGTTTTTACTCAATTTGTACATTATGCTTTACACAAAAATACGAGGCTGGGGCCGTGACTTTAGATATCTCGAAATCGTTCAACATGTTTTAAATATATTGGCCTTCTCAACAAACTCAAGAGATATGGTGTCGCTTGCAGAATATTTTACTTCAATTGTTCTTAACCAATGAAAGTTGTGTTGAACGGCTTCGCTTCTAGATCCTTTCACCTTAAATCGGGGGATCACTCAGGGCAATAATCATGGACCTAACTTGTTTCTTATCTTTATCATCTACCTCCCCAAAGTCATCAGTTCCCAACTAGATATTTATGCTTTTGACACAACTATTTACTCCTGTCAAAGAGTAGAGGTCCGACAAAGTAAAACTGGGATCTGTTCTCCAGTCAGTTGACAACTGGGGCAAGAAATGACGTGTCAGATTTAAAACCTCCAAACTATTACTTTTTAATCCTCATATAGAAACAGTTTTTGAGATGCTCGAGCACAGAAACTCATTGATAACTCGATTGATAATATCATCAACTCACATCCCTGAAATTCGACCACATTAGATTCGAACCCGGCGATTATGGACAGAACGCATATATTCTATCCACTCACCCACAAAAAGATAAATATTATCTGGAATAAATATATGAATTAAGGCCAAAGAAACATATCTTTTCCATTTTCAAATACGACAAGAGTTTCTTTTCAACCTTGTTGACAACCGAAACTATAAAGTCAAATAAGTCTGTCTTGCTTTTTAATCAATAACTGTAGCATAAATTATGAGTTCATGCCTTTCGTAAGGACATTGTTCCTCTTCTTATCGTATATCTTCAGGATGTTGGCGTTTATGGTTATCCACACTTCTCTGTCATTTGTAGCTCTTAGTAAATATATTTTTGTTATCTCTCCTAAACCCTGTTCTATCATCCATTTATGCAAGCTCGCTAGATAGCTTCTGGATTGTTTTTCTTTGTCCTTCTACCTTCACTTTCCTGTGTGAATCAAATTTTCCAAGCCCACTTTCCTCATTATGCGCCTTGGAAATTTCAAACGTTTCCTTCTAATGTTAAGTATAAGTGTCCTTTTTGTTTGGATTTTCTCTAAAACGTTCGGGCCAACGTATTTTCGTCATCCTTCTGCAGAAGCACATGTCTGTTGCGTGAAATCGCTTCGTCATCTGTGCGGAAATTGTCCAGCATTCACTGCTACATAAGGGGACTGATATTACGTAAAAGCCCATTACTAACGAAAATTTTCTGTTTCTTCAAACTCGGCTTAGCTTTTTGAAGGTATCTTTCGCTATCTAAACACTAGTACAAATAGAACAAACTGTCTACTAAGTAAGAATGCAACCTCAGATAGCCTATTTTATTCCCCCCTCTGCCAACCGAAATACACGTAATCTAAAATTTTAAGTAAACAAATATCTTTATTTTCGGACATTCTATCCTTCAAGATGTCATTGTCAGACACACATGTTAGTCGACGAAAAGGGTGAACTCGATTTTGACTTTGTTTGATAAGTCGGACTTTCGCTAAATCTTTCTTCACGTACAACAAAAGAATTCGTAATCTAATGTCCTTTTTCCTCTGGAGCATTCAAAAAAGACATTTGCATATAGGCTGATCTTAAAGAGCATATGTGAAGAAAAATGACCTTTTTGCGCGAGAAGGTTAAAAGTATTTGTTTAACAGGCACACGATAGATACCTGGTCTTTTAAAGAACACTCTATTCGTGTAAAATCTATTTTTTTTACTTCAGTAAGTGAATAATTTGGGCGTATGCCAAACCTGTCGCAGAGGCCATTCGTTTAATTGTACAATAGAGGCACGAACAGGAAAGTACAGATTAACGTAACAAAACGGCAAAGATACACCATTGTGATAATTGATTGAAACAAAACGAATGATTCCGTTATTATTTACTTTTTCTTCGTATTTTTCCAATGAAACACAACCCAGTGCACATGTTAGTACTTTGCCCATTCAACAAAGTCATTTTTTTGTAGATTGACCACAGATTCTCGATTGGATTTAAATCACGAGAGTTTCCGGGCCAGTCTATAGGACTTTGACTTGCTCACTGGTAAGGCCTGCCAGTGTGTTCTTGCAGCGTTCAATTTTCGTAATGGCTGTAGGACAAATAATCGACAGTCGAGACAGTAGTGTCTGGGCGTGATAAAAATTTGATGCAATTATGGATGACACAATATTTTTCAAGGCCAAACAAAAATAGATTCATATTACTACACACCACTGCAAATGACCCAATCTAAAGAAAAAATAGAAATCAATTACACCTTGTCACTCCAGTGGGTCTAAAACTGGTCGAATGGCGAAAGAAAGGAAACTAAATCGGTTGTTTCAATTAATTTGCACAAGGGAGTATGTATTTAATCATTCATACATACGGCGAAAGCTCCACCTAGATAGCTTCTTTACAACAACCACTGTTTTGTGCAACAGATTTCATAGATGTTGCAGTGGATAATACAATCTTAATTTCTTCAAGTCAAGGGTCAGTATTTATCTATTATTCTTTCCTCATAATCTTCATTTCGTACCAGGTTCGGTTTCAAAGTTAGGATGCTGTTGACAGTTGCATAATTAAAAGAAAAAAAAATATGTCGTCTCAGCGAATGATTTATTTCATGGAAATATTTCAACTAGCTGTTGCTAGCCTTCTTTACTCCTTTAATTTGAGTAAA